AAGGGCTTTGTTGACGAGTTTGGCAGCTTTTTTCTTTGCTTTCTTACCCATTACGAACTTTATGCGAGTGCGAGCGCAAATAATACGCCGCCAGAAGGAGAATCGTGGAAATTGATCACGTCTTGAGGCAACAATGTTTGAAAGGAATAAAAAAATTATGGCGATCCAAGAATGCAGACAGACTACAGTGCTAAAGGTACGTACCTATTTGCTTGCCAGGCGGTTTTTCAAGGGACCTAGCTAGCAAGCTAGCCTAAGGTAGCCTAGAAGACAACGGGGCGCCGGAGCAAGCTTGTTGTGAGATCGGCCAATGAGAGCGTGTCTGTAAGCTTAACCACTTTACACGCCTGGTATGCGCCAGGGGGGTTGACACAGATATAAAGACCTATCGATGTTACGGCCCTCAAGGATAAATAAGTACCCAAATCATCAATTCGAGAATCTATTCGGTTCCCAAACGAACACTAGATTATTATCCCTATTCAATAGCCAAGGTCCCTCTCAAGTATCTCAAGTCCCAAATTTGCCAGAGAATCTACTTGCTTCACTACAGCATACTCAAAAAAGGCTCGAGCTTGTTCACTCTCAGGATTCTCTTTCCAGGTGTTGATAAGGGACAGCTCCTGGTCTCTTCCTGGTAGCTCATTGATCTCATCCAGCATCTGCTGAGCGGTGGCCGAGACCTCCCATTCTCGAACATAGTCTCTGGGAACAGACGCTATAATCATGATGAGAAGCATTTGGCACAAGGAAACTTGGTCAATATCCTGCAGTGTCTGAAGAGCCCTCTGGTTAATATCCCCTTTTGATGCCACGGCTTGTGAGTTGCCGAGTGAGGCTGTGTCAGCTGCCGTGTTGGCAAGTAATTTGGCGACGAGCAAAAGGCCCTTGATGCGAATAGGATGATATGGCAAGACATGTCGATAAGGTTCGCTGGAAGTCGCGACGAAGCATGCCGTAGTCAAAGCATATATAAAGTTGCTTTCTTCGATGTATAGGATCGATACCTCAGTCAGCAGCTGTGGGAGCGGTGATACTGCCCAAAGGTTCTGGGCTGTCAGTCCTTTGCATTGCTGGTAACGAGCTCGAAGTACTCTTCGACGATCCTCTGGTGACAAGGTAGTGTCTTTCTCATCTATCAGGTCAGATAGTTGCTCGCTAAAACTCGTAGCCGTTGAGGCTTTGGTCGAATCTGTTGCAGCAGGGTGCTTGCCAAGCTTGCCGACATCAGCAACCAGGCTATGGCGGTTCATATTGATGATCGGAGAGGCGGCGCAGACTTGGTAGACGTTGAGGTCTTTCTCGCATCTAGGGCATTGACAATCAAAAAAGTACGGTGCGAGTGCATGTTGTCTCTTGGACCGAGGGAACGTGTAATCTGATGGCATGTCAGTGGGCATCTTGAGGATATCTTATGGGGAGACATACCGGTGTAAGAGATCTCAATCTCTTCATCGACTTTGATCGGCTTTTCAGCTCTCAGTATGGCCTTCCTGCCAACAAACTGCACCATAGCATTGGGGGTGCAGGAGTGGTTGGCCATGGCGAGCTTTGGTTCGAGAAAGATGCCAACCTGGCCAAGATCGGCATCATATCTATGAAAGGCATTTGTCTGAATCTGCAGTGTGTCAGTACATTGACCGTCCTGCTGCCATGCAGTTCTGAGGAGACTTACCTTGCAGAGTAGAGCCAGCGTCTTCTGCAATTCCTCTTGACCCGTGCCCTGCCCAGTAAACGCAGTAGCCCCCATGGCCATCATCTCCATGTCGGCCCATTTGTCACTCCTCCTCCAAGACTCGACATTTCCTTCAAGGGTCTCCAGCGCAGCGCCAATACCAGGCTTCACCAGCGCCTGGATCACTGCTCGTACGGGTGTCGGTATGCCTGGGTGTCCTTGCTCGGTCACTTTACGCAGTAGTTTGCACTCTTTGGAGTGGACTGCAGTCCAGTTTGCAGATTGGCAGCCGGCATCGCAGTAGGACACAGCATGGCAGCCGGAACAGGAGCGCACGTCAGCCGGCTTGAAGCAGTGGCTGCAGATGGTTTTTATATGAGATAGTGAGGGGATGAGAATCGTTGGTGTAAATGGGAGGATGATGTCGCCTGGAGAAAAGGCTCTGGTGGAGAAGATTCCACGACCTTTTTTATCATGCCTCAGCTGGAAGGGCACGTCTTGATTCATTTTAGACGAGAGAGACTGAGGTTTTTGGTCCGAAAGAGCCGGAAAGCAGAAATACGTATCAAAACGGGGCCCGACTATGGTATATAAGTACCAAGGTCAGTAGGTTAGAGGTACTTGGTTATCTCAGGATCCGGTGTCAGCAAGATCCATGAATGTTTTGTTGGTTGGTTGTAAGATGGAGTAAGGTCAATGTAATGTCCGAATTTCTCCTGCACCGAGCTCAATCTAGCGAACCACATCAGGATCAATCCTTCAATTGCACCACATTTGGGCACAGCAATCTCACATGTAGAATGTCGCAATACTCGATTTTTTACTCCCTACAGCTTGAATTGTGTAGTTTCTCTATTGCTCTGCCTTTAATAATCTCGCTTGGCAGATGCTACGCTCGCTACCTATGCTACTGATGCTGTGCTAGTTAGAATCTACAATTCAACCCGAGGAGGCACCTTTCCGCTCTTCCTCAATGCCGCAAGCCGATCATGTAGATCCCGGCTCCAATGTCCGCTGTCTCTCTTGTTCTCCTTCAGGATCCTCGCGACATGGTAGTCCCAGCACCCCTCTCCAGTACTTGTCTCAAAGACTCGGCATTTTGCGTCGCTGTCTCGCTCCGTGCGAGGCCACTGACCGAGCTTGGCGCCCATGTCTTCATCCAGGAAAGTATCTAGAACCAACTGGCCGACCTTGCGCTGTGTAGTATCCCATTCCTTGCCTTCGGGCACGAGCACCTCGAGCAACAGCTTCATGCCGTCGTTCTTGAGGAATTCCTCTCGGATGGCATCGCTCTTGATGAGGCCGTTGATAGCCCCAACCTTGGCTTTCGCTGTGGAGGCCAACGTCTTGGAGTTGAGCGACGATGGGACATGAGCAGGCACAAGAGGTGTATAGAAAGATTCCTTTAGAGACTTGCTGTTGCTAGGGCACTGACCCTCCATGAGACTAGGCCACTGCTTGGTGATCTCTTTCAAGGCCGCAGCATTGTTCTGCAGCGCGGCCCCGAGGATGGCAGCTGCTTGATGATCCCGAGGAGTGATATTAGCAGGGTAGGCAACATCTGAATCTGCCATCATGCAGAAGAGAGCCTTCAACACCGCCGGGTCTTCGGTGACCTTGAGACCGTAGTAAATATCATGTGACAGTTCTTCCATTCCCTCTAGCGCATCGTCGAGCTCATTGCCCTGGCCCGTTTCGCCAGCCTTCAGCATCCTCATGGCGGTGAAGAAGGGCTTGCCGACGAAATCCTCGCCCTCGGGCTCCTTGATTTTACCAATAGGTTCATAAGCTGGGGCGCCCTTGGGAATTTGGGGATCCTCCTGTTGCTGCTGATCGACGACAACAACAGCCTGGTCAACCGGGAGGCCTTCGAGTGCAGGGTTTCCTTCATCGGGGACATTGATCTTGGCCTCCTTCTTGCCGTTGGACATATTCAGGCGGACATGGAGTCCGTGAGGAAGTTCCTGATCATCGTGGACGACCTGGAACTCATCTGTTGGTTGAAACACCTTTGGGTAACAGTCTTTGGGGTTATCTGTGTGGCAGATGAGTTGCACATCTGCCTCGGGAGATGGCTGTGAGGCTACAGCTGAAGCTGAAGCTGAGGCGAGTGTTGGTGCTGCGAAGATGCAGAGGACGATACCCAGGGCGAGGGCGATCATGAGCGACAAGGATTTTGCCCTTGAGGGAGCCATACTGAATATCTGAGGCCTTGAACAAGCGAGAGCTCTTCAAGGTTGAATATCTAGTGAAGGTGGCCAGGATCTAATATCCGACCTGAGACCAGGGAGTATTATTGGTGATTCTTGTAAACCCTCGAGCAAAGTATTGAAGGGGGCAAGTTTAAAAGTGTACAAAGTCAGAGAACTCAAGGGTAGGTAGACAACTGCAGTGAGTTTAAGGGATCGCAAAGTAAAGTGGTGACAGGCTTTGGAATCAGAAATGAGAAAACAGAAAGGATGAACAAGTAAATGAGTATGATTTTCCGTTATATGCTATGAAACCACAAGATATGACTCAGTCAAAAGTAAAATGAAAAAAAAAAAAGGACACTTCTTTTTATCATAAATCGAAGTCGCTAGAAATGCAACTTGTCAAGATCCATCGACGCCCGTGCCACTATGGATGCTTACTGTGAAAAAGAGTTTTGGCAGGTTTCTATTGGTTCGGAACAACATTCTCGATTAGTCACGCTTCTTGTATGGCCTCCATGTAAGTCAATATCACGAACAAGATTAACACGTCAACTTCATGGTTCTGATGTAGGTTTGATCCTGATCGCTGCCTGGCAACATTCGAATCGTGATACTGTAATCCCCACAATGTCACATGTAGCGTGATTACTGAGAAAATGTCTCACAAGTACCAGCCTTCCCTTTCCACGAGGGCCAAATCAACATTGACGACGATCTCAACGGCCAAGGAAATAGCTTATATGAGGGGTTTAAAACTTGTTCATAGGAGCTTTATCCTGATAAAAGGGTTCATGTGATGAGAGGGAGCATAAGTTGAAGGGGCTGGCGGGACCAGAAATAGTTTCATGTCGCAAACAGCTCTATTAGAAGATTGTCTCAGTGCGGCCCACGTCCCTGCAAATTCCTCCCGAGGGGCCCCAAGACAGGACGATAGTGACCGAATGCGGTACTGAAGCATGGAGCAGACTCATTGTAAGTACAATACTCGTCACCTGTTCTCGATGGGAGAAGGGAGCAAGGGACCCCAAAGGACATATAAGGGCGAACAACCCAGTTGAGTTTTTCGTGATAGCAGCAAGCACATAGTCAAACCTACCCAGTCATTGCATCACTTCAGTTAACAACCCAAAATGTTGTCCTTCAAACTCTCCTTCTTTCTAGCCTTCTTCCTTTGGGCCTTCACTCTTGAGGCTGCACCAGCAATGCACCATCACCGCCACGGTAATCAACATCTTCGTCATCTCCACGCAACAAGAGCAGCACTTTTGCACCGTGCAAGATCACACTTCCACCATGGAGCCCCTCAAGTTTTGTTCGAGGAGCCTCAGAAGCCTAGTGAGAGTGTGCGAGCACAGGCTGTGCCTGAGCAGGAGATGCACCACTCCGTGGAGCGGTTAACGGTATAGACATTCAACGGTAGGTGACAAGTCCACGATTAGCATGATGCATGTAATGACTTCTTGAAGAACAGGATTCTGTAATGGTCGGGTGGAAGTGATGAGAGGAAACCAGAAGCTGGCTCTTCTGATATTGGCGTGTTGGACGGAGTTTGTTTGATACTGGAGGGTCACATGGGCATTGGTGAGATACTTGAACCAAGAATGGTTTATAATTTTTATATGTTAGTTTCGAATACTTTCTGTACCTCTTTGGGTTTATAAAATTCATAAATTTATAAGATATTACTGCTTAAATTCTAGGGTTATTAAGCATCCAATATAATATGGAATACTGTCCATCTGCAGCACAGTCCATGATGACACGCACTGTCTTATTCCCCGTGAGACGCCCCCATCCATGATTGGCCACAGACACCTAAACCCTCCGCTGGAATTGGAGAGCTCTCCCTTACCTCACTCAGGTTCTAGGAGGTAGTTAATCTGGAGAATCTGTGTGTCCCTGGGAGTCGACTCTCGTATCCCGTTCCTCTTCATTTCCGTTTCCATTCCCATTTTCCCACCGTCATCTTCGGCTCAACACCCCAGCCGAACGATATTTTTCTCACAGTCCTTCCCGTCTTTTTCGACACTCCTTGAATCATCGCTATCCGAAACGACCCTGCTGCTCCTCCATCAACTCCAATCGCTCTCCGGCGCGACGCTCAAGAGCTCTTGACCAGAGCTCGCTCCCTAGCGCACCCACCCCCCTGGTCCCGAGATCATCATCCCGCCGACATGCCTTCTCCACGCCGAGTACGCCTACTAATCCTGGCGACGATTGGCACATTCATCTTTATTCTCTTCTACACCTCGGGATTCGACTCGCATCACGATGCAGAGACCTATACAGGCCAAGAGTTTATCAAGAAGACCCAAAATGCCATGAGCGCAAACGAACCCCCGGCACCCATCGTCGACTTTGCAACCGGAGAGAAGGCTGGACAGCCTCACGCTGACAAGGATGGAGATGGCGATATCGACGCAGACGACCAGAAGTTAGCTGCTCAGATGCAAGAGCGCCTCAAGGCGGCCGAGGCCGAGGCGAAGGGCAAGGCGAACGAGAAGGGAGGTCTGCGACCCGATCCTCCCAAGAAGGTTGTGGGAGTTGGAAGTTCCGCGGAAGGTCAGGATAAGGATAAAATTGTCAAGCCTGTTGGCGGAGACTCTGGCGATGCTCCAGCTCCTGCAGCCGCAGCCGCTGCCGAGAAGAAACCCGAAACAGAGACGAGGAGCAAGGAGGCAATCGCGGCTCGCGAAGAGCTTGACTCTATCCTCAAGAAATCACCTGGTAGGTCTCCGAGAGCAAAGCAAATACTGGAAGTACCATAATCACTAATCATCATTATCTAGTCATCATCTTCTCTAAGACGTACTGCCCCCACTCGAAGCGAGCCAAGAGCCTTCTGATCCAAAAGTACTCCATTACACCCGAGCCCTACGTCGTTGAGCTTGATATCCATCCCCAAGGCCAAGCCCTGCAAGATCAGCTACTCGAGACAACAGGCCGAAGGACCGTACCCAATATCATGGTCAACGGTGTGAGCCTGGGAGGCGCCGACGACATCACCGAGATGGACCAGGCAGGCAAGCTCGTCGGCAAGATTGTCGACCTCGGAAACAAGCGAGTCGAGGTTCTGGAACGAACCAAGTAGACTGCGTGCGCGCGCACGCTTTTCCTCCCCTTTCATGACCTCTTTAATCTTCACGGGGCACTTGTACAAGGATTTTACTGTTTGGCTTTTTTTTTAGGGTAAGAAGGGGCTGTCATTTTGGGCCTTTGGCAGCATGATTGGAGTCTGGGCGTCTGGGAATTCTTTTTGTCACCGTGTGTAATGGTGTCATGAAAGGAGCTCTAGGGAAGATACTCTTCGACCAAGATGGTGATGTACACACAGCACAGCTAATGAATGAGATATATATACCTCTATATCTAGCATGGCCCTAAGTCATTTGCGTGCCAACAATCTGCTCCATGTCTCAAGCAGTTAACGGCATTCCAGCCTGATCCTTAGAGTACAAAACCTTATCGGATTGAGGCGGTGACTTGCTTCGTTGGTGTAATCTCATTAGCGCCATGAATGCGGGAGAGTCAAACAGGATTGACACTCACATCCCAAGTAGGCAGGTCTTGTAAGCCAGCCCAACCAAGCTTGGCCATTTGCTACCGAGGCAGGATTTTTGGCATAACTTTAACCAACATAACATATGAAGTTGCATTTTGGTCCCATGGCACTAGTTGGACTCGCAGCCCAGTTCATCATGTGAGGTGGATTCCATCTTTGATAAATACTACATCATCGGCGGTTTTGAAAGCTTTTATATGTTGCACAAAACGTCGTACGACAACCCGCATCATTTTTCACCATTCTTTAAGAGTCTTGAGTCTTGCTGTTTTGCATCTGAATTGATCACTCATTAAACAACGTTGACCTGAGATTCGCAATGGAGTTCACAGACACTATGGCGAGGATGATCGCGGTCCCAGAATTGCTGGAACTCATCCTCTTACACCTCGACATGAAGACACTTCTTGTGTCTGCATCACGGGTATGTCGTCACTGGGCCGCGATGATAGGAGAATCTCCCAGGATCCAGCAAGCGCTGTTCTTCCAACCCGCGTCCTCGGCAGGGACCCAAAAACCGCAGAGTTTCACACTCAACCCGCTGCTGGTTGAAAAGTTTGGACGATGTTTCTTCGATGTCGACCGCAAGTACACGTACCTCCGAAGAGCAGACTCGTTCTTTCGCTTGCCTTGGGCTCCCGAAGGTGCGATTGAAGCACAAGGAGAGGCGAGAAGCTTATCCATGCTGGAGAAGACGGACAGGCTTGAGAACTTCACAATGAGCACTTCCAGTTGGCGGCGGATGCTTGTATCTCAACCACCGCCTCCGACTATGGGATATTTGAAATCGGAGGGCTTCGACATGTGGTTCCGCAATGTTCGCACTGCTCTTATCAAGCCAAAATCCTCACAGGGCCTCTGCATGGGTCAGTTATACGACATGGTCCACAGCACAACGTGCCAACCGGAGAACTACTCTATGTGGTACCGGGTCAGTTGGGATGATGCGCGGGAGACGCATCAGACGCAGCTTTGCCGGGAACAGTGCGAGCTGCTCTTCGGCGCAACTACCCTGGTGGTAGAGTTCTACAGTATGGATGGAGGGGATTGGGACTGCGGACCGTGGAGCATAGACTGCGTGAGAGAAGTGTTTAGGTGTGCCGATAGTTGCGGTGGTAGAGTCGAGAAAGGGGAGGAGGAGGCTAGCTTGGAGGAGTTTGAGACCTTGGGGCTGGATGTGCTTACATCGATTTGGTGGCATAACGAGGAGGATGATTCAGCTGTAGATGTTGATGCGAATGGTTATGGGGGATAGAGAGTGGGCTCGGCGAATGGGCTTAAGAGAGTTTGATGTGTGAGGTGAGTGATAGCCTATAGGGAGGGGTTACATTGGGTTGCCTCCAGGCTACCTATTAGGGTAGACGGACTGTCTGAACAGCAACTCACCGTAAGGAAAGGGAGATGTCTCTGGAGCGTCGCATTATACTTGGAGTAGAACATACGATATCTTTATAACATGAAGAGAGGTTTGATAAAGAGATTAATGATGTGTTACTATGTCTCTTGTTATATCAAAAGGACAATACCATAGTACCAGTAAATTCCTCGAGATAAGTGGAACTGATTAAGGTTGATGAAAGTGGGTTCACTGTACAGTAGCGCGGGGTCAGTAACACTACCACCAAAGATCTAGACCCTGAAAGGCAGACAAGGCAATGAATGGAAGAGGCAGACAGATAAAAGTCGGGGAAGAGGAGAGGAGAGGAGAGGAGAGGAGAGGAGGAGATAGGACAGTCCCTACGGTACCTACCTACCTACCTCACCTACCTATCCCTTGCCTTCCATATATAAAAGCTTCAGCCTCACCCCCGCCATTTCTTAGCTCTCCTATCAATTTAATATCACTCATATCCGTACAACCTTGGTAAATAAAAGCGTCTCCCTCTTTTCAAAGCCCAAATTCATCGTCTGCCACAACAAAAATGGACACCACAAGCGACGCTGCCTCTGTCCTCTCAGGCTCGACCGTCTTCTCCAAGGAAGCCCAGGACCATGTCTCACCGACAAAAGCCGACGCGGACATGTCTACAAACGAAGCCGCAAAGCAGCACCAGCAGCGCAAAAGCATGCGACAGCGAGTCCGCAATGTCGTAGCCGACCTCGGACGTCCTCCGACGGCCAGAGATGATGCCAACAGCGGAAATGTCACGCAAAAGCATGTGGATGTCGGGCCTGCGGCCGGGACGGTCCTCATGGGCTCTGCCACCGTCTAGTTACCTACCTAGGTAGTCCAGGCAGAATCATATGAGGACATGGAATATTTTGAGGCTGGGAATTTAATGGGACGATACATGGAATGGATGAATGCTTTGGATGGCTGGGTCAGATCAGATCAGATCAGATACCTTTTACTTTTACTTTTACTGTACGAGTTATGGCGTTGGAAATAAGTTGAATTGGATACCAAGTGTTGACCACCATTTATCAACGGAGCCATTTATTGGCAACGGCCATGATTGACAACCTACCAAAGCAGCGTCAAGTCCTGATGCATGCATGCTGATTGAATCAGGCCTTATCACTGCCATCTCCCATTCAGCTCGATTTTGACCATTTAATGCTGCATCATTGATTAACCAACTAGTTTCCTCTTTAATACTCCCATCTTACATCAGCATCGAATATATCCACCTCACTCAGCCTTAAGACTCGCACCCATTATTATTGAGTCCTATCTTACCTGGTACTCGTGGGGCTCATAAACTACCTAGATCTACCCTGCCCTACCCTGTGCCTTGCCGCTTGCTTGCATCATCACTCTATTCACAAGGTCGGTTTGTCTTGAATATGAAACATTGTGCAAGTTTCCTTAAACATGTAGAAACTTCGGTGGGGCGGCTCATTTAGGGGTTCCACGGAGTTCAGGCTGACAAATATCTACGCTTTATTAATACGGCGGCTTCCTATATACGCATTACGCATTATCAGGAGACGATCTCGAGTAAAGAGCAGTGAAGTATATATAGCTGTATAAATCTGTAGAATGGCTATATCTGTAGAGTGTCATCCATCTATACTGGTACATCAAGCCATACATCACCCACACCGAACCAAAGCCCGTCATGTCTTCTATCCCCTCAACTCAGCAAGCCATAGTCCTCCCTGCAAAGCGCACCCCGTTCGCCTTTCAAACAGTCCCAGTGTATCCTCCAGCCCCCGGTGAAGTCCTGGTTCGTGTTGCCTGGACCTCTTCAACTCCTCTAGACCTTCATCGTGCCGATGGCGGTCTACTCATCTCTGAGTACCCGCAGCAGATGGGCAGTGGTGGTGCTGCTGGAAGAGTCGTGGCTGTTGGAGATGGCGGCGACCTCAAGGGTTTGAGTGTCGGAGACCGTGTCGTTTCCTTTGCTTTCCATGGCGGAAAAGAGGCAAACCACCAGGAATACATCACGATTCCTGCATATCTTGCTTCCAAAATCCCAGACAACGTCTCTTACCAGGAAGCGGTGACGGTCTCTGTGAATCTCGTGACTGTCTTCCACACTGCCACCGCCGATCTCAAGCTGGAGCTTCCATGGCCCGTACCACAGGGTTACACGCCCAAGCAAGCTGATGACCCTATCCTCATCTGGGGTGCCTCGAGCAGCGTCGGCATCTATGCCGTCCAGGTCTTCAGGCACTGGGGCTTCAAAAACATCGTCGCCGTGGCAAGTGAAAAGCAGCATGCGTACCTTCGCAGCATCGGCGCAACCGAGACCTTTGACTATCGGAAGCAAGGTGTTGTCGATAAGATCCTCCAATTCATCAGTGATAGAACAGAGCCCAGACTGCCTTATATCATCGACTGCATTGGTTCTCTAGAGGGCACTCTAAGGCCTCTGTCCAAGATTGCTCAACGCGGCAGCACTGTGGCTGTTATGCTCCCTGTCATTCTCAAAGATGCCACCCTCGAAGAGGAGCCTGAGTATGAGATGGACGTCTCTAAGGTATTGGTCGGTCAATGGGCCGATGGCGTTGAAGTTCGTGGTGTGCGAACACATTTCTACCTATCAGTAAGTCACTCTTGGTCATCCGAGTGAGGCATTCAAAGACTAACATAAACTAGAACGAGTTTCTCAAGGAAAAGGCTCAACCAGAGATGGTACCCAAGCTACTCAAAGACGGCGTCATTACCCCCAATAAGTATCGTGTTGTGGAAGGTTCATCAGCTGTTGAGAGGGCCCAAAAGGCATTGGATATTCTGAGAAATAAGGGAGTCAGTGGCGAAAGGCTGGTCTGGAGGATCACTGAAGATGAGGTGTGAATCAGCATCAAATACCTATAGATATAGCATTACTACAGTAGCATTTTAGTTGCGATTTGTGTGTTTTCTGAATGGTTACCAGTTCAACAATTCTGCTTGTAAATCAACCTGATCCGTGATGCCCCGGAAAGCTTGGTGAATACCAGCACCCTAATGCCTAACTACCATTACAAAACAAATGAGACAGACATCCGCCACTTGCGCAGAATCAACACGCAGCACCCATCATGAACTGATCGATAGCTTCTGGGCCCATTTGCCTGTTTCATGTCAGATACGACAACAAATTTGATAGACGAGGTTACTTACGCAGTAAGCATCAGCTTCGTAAACTCATCAACGTCCTCAGGCTGGGCATGTAACCAGACACCCTTGAAGTCGAGATTCCGCACCGGGTATTGTGGTTTGGTCTGCCACGCACGGTAGAAGGCCATTGACGAATCGGCTTCCCAGAGGTATCTCGACGCTGTGAACTGAAAGGATGGGCCCTCCATGATACCGCAGGGTGCTATGAGAAAGTGTTAGATGTGAGTACAGACAGGTGAGGAGAACCAGACGTACGTTCAAGGGACTTGAGTATGCTTGTCATGCACACGAAAGCAAATGACATGACGGTGGTTCGGCGTATACTCTCAGCGAGCAGCCAACTCTGTCTCAGCGTCAGCAAGAATCCTCCATGGCACAGTTCTTTGATCATCTTACCTCCCAGCTTGGTGGCGGTGGACCTTTCATCGTTGTAGCACCAGGCTCATCCCCCACTGACAACTCCTCTTCCACCTCCTTGAGAGCAAACATCCACGCTATAAACTGCGACGCCTCGCGCTCGCTTGTTGCCCTCAGGGTAACGTCACCGTCGAACATACGGATAGAGTCTAGAACAACCAGCGCCTGCACACGCGCTAGCTTCTCCGCCGGTGTCGAGGCCCGCTCACCCTCGCGATGGATCTCCTTGGCCATGTCGGTGATGAGCTTGTACACCCAACCCTTGTTATCGGGAGTTCGCGCTGAATAGGCTGATGCCGCCGAGAAGGCTGCTAGCATGGTCTTTGGGAGGTTGGAGCCGTAGAGACGGGGGTGGATGAAGGGCAGCCGGCGAGTCCGAGCGAAGTCCCTGTAGAGGTTGGTAATAATATCTACTGTGTATCCCACGCGGGTGCGAGGGTCGTACACGTCCAGCGGGTTGAAGTCGGCCAGGCAGGCATCTGCTCTATCCAGAAGAGCCACATCGCGGATGACGACAGGCCCAGCTGGGACGGGTGGTATACTGAGCTTGCTGTTGCCATAGTCTCCCATGTTCCATAGCTCGGAACCAAGAGATGTATCGTTGGCCATGAGATGGTCGATGATGGAGAAATCAAGTGGAGAGTCGAGCTCTATTGACGATGTGGTGGCTCTGTCGAGGCTATCGGGCGTGGGGTTGCTGGTGCTGGTGCCAGTGCTGGCACTCGAGTCTGCTCCCAAGTTGTTGATATCAAAGCCCATATCAAAATCAGGGACCTCGTTCAGGTTGTCAGTAGCGTCAAGACCAACACACAGATCGTCGTCGTGAAAGTTGGCCCCTGGCGGCAATCTCTGATATACACAGTCGAGGCCCTTTGCTGCACAGCGAGTACAGCGGGGGGTCTTCTTGTCGCACTTGCGCTTCCCTCTCACGCAGGCGTTGCAGCTCTTCTGTCTCGAGGCTGCTGAACGATCCATCTTGCGCGCAGCCAGCGACCCGAGTGAGTCCATGATATATGTATAAGTGAGATAGAATGAGTGAGTGGATGGGTGGATGAGAGTGAGGGTGAGTGAGGGTGAGAATGATAGAAGAGGAGAAGGCGGAAAAGGGATCCCCAAGAATGTCGACGGACTTGACGTCGGAGAATGAATAGGCCTACCAGAGTGCAATATAATCAAGAGAATGGAGAGGGAGAGAGAGAGAGAGGAATCCCTGATGCATCCTCTTTGCGGACTTTGTCTGGTGTAAGCCGTAAGCAGTAGCACTGTTTTCTCTTTAACTACTACTAGGTAACTAAAGCCAATCGTCAATGGTCACTGCTCGTCTCTCAGACCGAATCGGGGACTTCCTCTCTGGGGCGGGCTACTGCAAACTCCGCAAGTCCGCAACCTCCAACTCCGCCCGGGCTCGGCTGTCCCGTATGTCCCGTATCCCCGGCTCCGATCTGAAGGCAAACAGTCCACCTGTGCTCACAGATCATCTTGTTTTTATCTTATCATACCCATCGCACTGTTTCCATCAGATCACGTCATGCTAGTGGGTACCCGTAGTACTTTACATATACCTACTAATACGCCTATATATAGGTATAATACAGATACTCATATCTTGGTATACCCACCACTGCTTTCCAACATGACATGGCAAAGAACCGGTAGGACATATTCACTCATCTCACACACAATACGCATAATAAAATCTATCCCAAGCACGAATTTGTGAAGATGAATATCTTTGTTCTCGCATTTTTACCACCAACCCCCCGATACACCGAGACCATACGATACGCCTACATCCACGCCATTGCAAAGAAGAGAACAGAACGTCTTTCAACTGCATCACCTCCACGACATGTTTGTTCCACAGCACAAACCCCGCCTATCCGCTTCACCTCCTGTAAAATGGGTATATACGCCCCGAAACACTATTCACGCCATCTCCGTATTTTCCATGACGTCTTTGTCCTTCCGAGCCCAAAAACCGACAAAATCCTTTGCAACCAACCCCATTGCACCTATTCCTTATCCTTATCCCTGCCTTTCCGTGCCGTGCCGTGCCTTGCCTGACCACACACCTAACCGTCCCGTACCATTAAGTGGCCTATATGTCCCAAACCTAAACTTAACTCCTAGCAGCCACCTCGTTAGTCGAGCGTGGTGCATGTTTAAATAAATGAAGAAGGGGAAAATAAGAAACGGAAACAAAAAGAGAAGAAGTTGACAGAATGAGATCAAGACCGAGTACTGAACAAGAAATTGACAAAGAAGAGTGACAGTTCACGGCCCGTTTGCCGTGCCGGTACACTGAGCGGCAGTGTTGCCGCAAAAAATGAAAGAAAAAACAGAAGCAGCTAAGCAAATCTAATGCCACGGCGCGTTGGTGTTGTGGCTCAGAGCATCGCTGGTGACCCAGCAATCGTAGTCGAGTCCCGTCCTGTAGTTCTTGTTGGAATCGCAAGGGTGCTGGCCGTGTGCTCTCCAGGTGTCATAACTTTTCGCCGTCGTTCATTCATTAATTGAGGTCCAACAGGTTCAAGATGGTGGACCTTTTTGGGGGGGCAAGTATTGCCTCCTGAGCCTCATTCCGGAATATTCGATTGTTCCCATCTAATGATAGCCATTGGTACGAGGGCTGTCATACTGGACACCCGTCATAGAGTCCGGTCCATTTGGAATACTATTACGGAGCGACCTGAGCGGTGGTAGTTCTGGTCGGTTCGGGTTAGGGTAAGGGTCCGTCTGATAAGTCCCGGCCTGTGGTGCTGGTGTTGCTGCTGAGGATAATGGAGGGCGCGAAGAGGAAGAGTTAAGCTCTGAACGAAGCTGTTGATTTTCCATTCGTAACGCATGGACATCTCGGCGAAGCAACTCGTTCTCAGCCGTGTTAGACTTGTAATGATCTTGTAATGCTCGAATGATATCTTGCTGCTTCTGATGCTCTGCAATGGCTGTCGAATTTCTCGTCAGTTGAGATCTAGCCCCTTTCTCTTGAATTACTGACCTTTAGTTAGAATTTCCCACTTGGAGGCCTTCGAGCCTCGTTCCTGAGGCATGAGATCTCTAAGCTGGTCAAAGAGCTCCTTCATCTCCGTTCGTCTTTTCCGTTCAGCAAGCTTGTGGCTGACTCTCAATTCGGGTGTTCGACTATATGGTTGCGAGCCCGTTGAACCATTCGCTTCTTCGGCCTGGAGGTCACTCAATTGCTTATGCTGCATAGAGTGATGGTGAACAGGCGGAAAGTCGGATGCGTTGGACATGCGAGAGTACTCGGACTCATTCAGTCTCATCTGACCAGGGGGTAGGCGAGACTCTGTTGTGAATTGGCTACTCGCGATAGACTCGGTGATACTACTACGCCGCGAGTCGGCGTACGTGGGGGCGCCACCGACTCGCTGAATCTCTTCTTCGGGAAACGCCCATGCTTGACCTTTGGTGGGCTCTGCAGCGCGTGCGATGTGTCCAGTGGCAGGACCAGTGATGGCCGGCGCGGTTTTGACTGTCTTGCCCTCAGGGTTTCGATCCGCACTGGGTTGGTAGCCGTTTGAGATGCGATGGACTGATAAATGATGAGGGTTCCGCTGATTATGGAGGGTATTTTGTATCGAGGTAGTTGAGTGATTGTGGGATGCATAAGGAGAGCCTCCCAGGCGCAAGTCGCCAAAGTTTTGGTTAATACGGCTGTCAACACTCTCCCTTCTCATTGCTGCCATACCAGGCGCCAAGGTGTCGCCCATCGTAGGGCCAGGGTTGGGACCGAGACCGTTGGACTCGATCGACGTGGGACGGTCGCGGCGAGGATCGAGACTACTGGGAGTACTAGGGGATACCATTGCGGCAACGCTCATGTTGGTAGTCGATGGCGAGACAAGTCCGTTGGGAATCATGTTGGAGGCAATCGGAGATGGTGTCTTCTCGTGCGACGAGGATTGATAGCCGGAGCCACTTGGGCTAAGACCATTCACGTTGAAGGATGCAGCGGATGTGTCTAGGTAAATCAGGTTAGCCATGGAGCCGAGGCATTGGCACAAACAGTAATGAGCAGCGTACGCTTACTGGAGGCGTCTGCGTTGGAGTAGAAGCCCGAGTCTCGCATGTGAGGCGGGCCGTTAACGACTGAAACAGGTGCGTTGTCGTTGTTAAGAATGTTATTAAATCCAACCGGTTTGGGAGGGGGTAGACGCGGCTGGTTGTGGACGTCCATATCTGTCTAGGGGTCGAGTCGATATCGAGGGTATCGGTCGAGTCGCAGCCAGAGCGAGTCGGTTACAGTGAGCCCGACGAGTCCCCGTCAATGGGAGCCCGGTTAGCAGAGGGCGACGGCGACGGCAATATGATTGTGTTCGATTGTTTGCGTTCAAGGCGTGGCCAGGGTCGCGAGCAGCAGGCGAGAGGCGTCAGTACGACGAGCCAAGGCGAAAATTGCAGCTCGAGGTCGGCGAGCCAGGACAGACAGACACAGACAGGACAGTAGAGACGCGACAAATGCGATCCAAAGCCAATCTCTATAATGGGCAGGCGTGTCAGAGCATGAGCCCTGTGAAAGAGGGTTAAGAAAGAGACCGTCGCCTGGGACAAGGTAAAGATGAGATGTGATCGAGAACAAGAACTTGACGTAACCCTGATCTGTAAGAGGTGAAGAGAGAGGAGGTGGAAAATGGAATTGAAGAGGGAAAAGTGCACACGAGAACGAGATGACCTTGGTGAAGGCGAATG